GTGGCAGGACATATTGCTGACTACTTGGAGCTTGAAGCTTCAATCTTGCGTGGATATACCGCGGCCCGATTTGGGCACAATCGCACAAACCCAATAGGCGACCCTATTGAACCTACAAATAAGGAGGCATCGAAACAGATGCAAACTCTTGCCTCATCAGTTAGGAAAAAAATGGGGCTTCATCTCCTTCTGCAAGCACGCACCACCACCTCTCTCTCCCTACTCCTAATCAATCACACTTTGGGTGTTGGTGGGTGGATCGCGAATGGGTAACGAAATTGTGAGTACAGGGCTGATCGAGAGGTTAAATGGACCATGCGACGCTGACAAACCTAACTGAAAGCATCAACATCTGTGGTGGATTTTTCCCAAAAGATAAAAGACTATTCCCTTGTGCAGGAGACAAATGGATCTCCTGAAAAATCACCACCTTCCAATGTAACAACCTGCATTAGTCCAAATTGGGGTCATTACTCCATTGTCCTCCTCTGTGGTGCATATGCCAACTAAGTCGTGGACGACTTCTTCGAGTCGATGGGAAATGGACCACAAATCCCACGTGGACACATGGAACCCGGTCTTTTATTCTCACAGAAGACGAGGAAGGACTACTTGATGTGCAACAATGTTTCCCGATCCTCTTTATGCCCCTGCGAAACAGTCATGGAACCAGAACCGGACACAGATGCTAGAGATGACTGTCCAGTCGCCCTTCGTCTTTATCCTCAAATAGAGAAGGGAAACCAATAACTTTGGGCCATGTTGCACAAAGCATGACATGCATCTGACGACTTTTCAGGTGTGAAGAGTAAACGCCCCCTCTCTGCTTCTGTGCAGACAGCAACAAACACAAACGCGCCATCCTCCTGCTCGTGTAGGGAGGACAAGAATGCAAAAGTAAATTTTAGCGATTTGTTTTAGAAAAGACATTGACCTCGCCTTCCTCTTTGAAACAGTAATGGCGAAACTTCCTTATTTTCCCACTTTTCAATTACTTTACCCGCAACAAGGTGGATTGTGAGGTAGAGGCAAATCGAGCAACGCAAAGTGGTTGCTCCTTCAACTTCTGTCATTTGGAGATGACATTTCACGCTCCTGTGTTGACTAGCAACTGTTGGCATAACTCAACAAATAGCACAAAAGAAGGCAATAAGATGGCACTTGTAGAGGCGACTGGGTGGCTCCGTCTACAAAGATAGTGGCGATCAAGACTGACGCGACAATTAGTGTCGCTTCCATGTTTACTGAGGGTGGCGAATTCATTTCACGCAAAAACTGCCTTGAAGGCAGAAGTCTGTGTTACTCAAGCACACACGCAAACGACGCAATGACGGGACTCGACTGCGCCAACTCGTACAAAAGCAGGTGAAGTCTCAGGTGAACACATGACGTTTGATGGTCCCTCTCGTTTGTGGATACAAGTTGAAGAATTCTCTCCCCATTACCAACCACCTACTTCAATGCAACATGCTTGATAGGGAACGAGAGACTCACCCATTAGTTCGCCGAATCCGCCCAAGGGAATGTGGCAGGTGCCGGTGATGAATTGCAGTAGACGGGCTCGCTGCTCTTTGTCCAAACTGTGTACAAACTGAAAGGCAGAGAGTAGTAATACACACCGCTAGATACGTGGCTCACTCCGCCCTAGTCACCGTCATTGCCCGTAGTGGGTGGCATTTGAACACGCAAAGCGACGTGCAACTCCACTACACCCCACTCCTCTACGCCCCATTCCACAATGTGTTACACATGAAATTGATCCAGGTTCCACACAGCTCACATTGTCCCGATCCCTTGTTGATCAAAACCATCGCCCTCCTCCATGACAATCGCCTGAGCAGTTGGGGTGTTTTGTGCAAACGAGACAACATGCAAATGAGTGTAGGAAGGCTTTGTGCCCTGACTCCGAAGACACACAATCTGAATGTGCAACTTTTCAGCAAAGAATGGAAAAGCTATCTTCGCAGAAGCAATCTCGTTCCTTCACTCAATCGCCTCCTTTCAGTGGCTGCTCCATGATAGGAATAGGCGTAGTGTCATTCACAGAAATACGACAAGTTCATATTAGAGGGGTGGAGTAGAGAGCACAACGAATTTTCAGGAGGCTGATAGAATTCCCCCATTCAGTTAGGTTACTTCGACAGAAATTGGAAAGAGTGGAGGCACTTTTGGGCAAACCGAACTCTGTCAAGGCGGTTAAATGATTGACGGATTAATGTGTAGATGATAATGTCCAATCCCACACTAGTTAGACATTGATTGTTCAATGCTAGGAAAAGGCGACAGGGAAGATGAAAGAGGAAAAGGGGAAGGAAGATGAGGTAGCATCTCCACACCTTGCTCACCAAATTGTAAATCCTTAGAGGACCAATTCGGACGTGTAAAGTATTAGTTGCGCGTGCCTCTGAACAGCCAAATCTTGTAGACTTCCAAGCTGTATTGAGTAGGTAGAGTCAGCTTTCGACTTCCAGGAGGTGAACACCTGCGTCTGCAGTGAACCACCTCATACACAGAGCAGACGTAGTTCTGTGTAGGATGAAGTAGTGGCACATGACTTGCAAGTGATGAATGAGTAGTGAGGAGATCATTTGGGCATGACAAGTCAGTCAACGTAGTAATAGAAGCACAAGGGTTACTTTTCCCATCAAGTGTATAAATAATTCAAAGTTCACGAGACACCTAGGGCACGTCAAATTGATGGAAGCGAAAGCCATCTTGCTTGTCATCAGTTAATGCATGTGGGTGGAACGCATCTGCCTAATAGCTCCCACGACATTCTCAGTTAGTTGCTTAATTTCTCTTCCATAGAAAAGCGTTGCTTGATATGGCATAGCAACAGTGAGTATGTCACCGAACGATGCAAGCAGTAGGTTTCCTTCCTCCTCTCATTCCTCCCTCCCTCCCTTCCTTACTTCATTCATTTACGTGCTTGTCAATCGCGTTGGAGGCCTAACTGAATTTGACAACCTGAGCAGAGCAGGATGGCAATGAATACGCCCTTGTCCCTAGTCGCACACGTGTCCCCTGCATTCCCCCGTCCAATGTGCATCCAAACGCCACTGCCATCCATTTCTCAGTGTTAAACAATCACAGACGCGCATGCGACATGGACTACTAAATTGTGCAATGAAAGGGAGGCTGTACCACAGGTATTAACAGCAATGGCATTTGTAGCTTGAAAGAAAACATGCAAAGGTGTGATTCGCAACCCGGTTTCATGATGATCGCTTCAGTAAAGAAAGTGCTTCAAAACAACGTCTTGAGACAAAAAAAAGCACGAAACGTTTCTTGTAATCTAGAGTAAAAGCGAAAACAATAATGAGCACTTGTACCAAGAGTGGGCCCAGAAAATCCTCCAAAAGCACACGCATTCGTGTCACGAAAAGTTCGATGCTTTCATTCCAACCACGGAGCATTTGCTAATATTTAAGTGGGCTTTTTGCAATGCAAGACATGCCAACTTCGCCTCCACGTGACAAGCCTTTCAGTTATTTATTTGCCCAAACAGGACGACGTCGAGAGTAACATTCTGGCGTGCAAAGCCCCCTACAACGGCCAATGCCTCAAAACTCAATATTGGGAGTTGCAGGAGTTGGTTAACTACAGTGTACTGGGAGTGATAAACATCAGTGTCGCTCGTATGAATTATAACCAGGGAAGGCAGACAAAAACGCCCTTCAGAATTAACATTCGTTGCAATAGACGCAGGTGTTTTATTTTGACGTAAGTCGAACCAGGGTTGGCGCTATTCAGCCCACTGCAGAGGCTGCGTTGTCTCCAAGGCGTGAATTAAAGCCAAAGTCGCATCAATGTACACTTGTCTTGAAGGCATTTGAGTTGAATGAGGTTGATGTGCTGAGTTGGCAGTCATAAAAGGCAGAAGTTGGCGTGCTACTAAGGAAAGGAGATTTCACACATACCTACACTCACACCGGAGGAGTGTCTGGTGTGGAGAGGCGGGACTAAACAACAGTCTCATTGGAGGGAGTTCGCATTCGTCGGCATTAAAGTAGCTCTTTCGTAAGGGGAAGTAAAGCAGGGATGTGCACCATCCATCCACAGGTACTCAGACTGAACCGCGAAGCCGAACCACAATATTCGTGGAGGATGCTGTACCTCATTAAAGGCGGAGGAGGAGGGGGAGGAGGAGTAAGAGTAGGAGAAATCGTCCACACTGCATACACATATGATTGATGGGTCAGATGAATATATGATATCTCGAAGTTGTTGTTGTTGATGATACTGATGGTGGAATGAAAGGAAGAGCGATTTCAAAAGTCAAGTGGCAGAGAAGTAACTGCAGCAAATACGGCAGCAGCATCAGCTACAGCAGCAACTGCGCCAACAACAGTGGTAGCGGCAATGGGTGAAATCACCGAGACCACCACCACCACCACTAAGTCATGCATGAATAATTTAGTCGACAAGCCTGACAGGCAGACAGACAGACGCAGCTTTGAGACGAGAGTGCAGTCGCCATTGTGGGGGCGTATCGCATCACCGACTGATGCGCGGACAGGGTGGTCACAGTAGAGAGGTGGTCATGTAGAGACTAGCGCAGAGGAGGAGGGGTGAGTAAATGGGTCGATGGAGGGATGAATGAATGGATGGATGAAGAGTTGAGGAGACCAAAGTGAAGGTGAAGTGGAAAATGAAAAGAACGAGAGGAGGCGAGGAGGCAAAGGTGAGGAAAGGGAAGGAAATGGGAGGCAGGAGGCGGGAGAAGAGGCTAGGCAAAGAGAGAAGTGGAGGTGGAAGTGGGTACTCACCTGCCAGAACCAGATGACCTGTTTGGAGGAGGCGTTGTACTTCCGGTACACCGTGTTTGTCCGCCAATCCTCCACGTCCAATTCAGGCATTCCAGACAGCAACAACTACAAGGCAAGGCACGGCAGTGAAATCCACCTCACCTTCTACCCAACAAACCTCCCCTCATTGCTTACACTCTTTGTCAGCGTTGCCTCCTCATAGTGCCAGAACTTCCATACTGTCCTATTGTGTCAGTACCTCAACCAAATGGACGTCAGCTACTCACATCTGGAACGTGTTTTGACGAAACAAGGCCATTCGCAAATGCAACACAGCCCATCCATCCATAGTCATCCACCTATGTTGGGGATGTTTCGTGCGTTCTCGTCTCTTCAGTCAACTTCCTTGTGCATTCTCGTAACCTTCTTACTTGTTTCATCCGGTGCATTGATTGGCTGGTTGGTTGTTGGATTTCTGTTATGTTGTGGTCACCGTGCCATGCTCCGGGTTGAGGGTAAGTGCCATCGACTTGCGCTCTCTAAGACTGACACTATCACGTTTCTTCTTGTAAATTCCAATCTACCATCGTCAAAGTGAGATTAGCTACCAGCCCAATGCATAGACCGATTTTGCACACAAATGCAATTGCACTGGCGATGGAGCATTGTTAAGCCGCCATCACTACACCCTCAAAGTGGTCTTCGTCTCACTAATGTGGGTCGACAAACAGAGGACGTGACATGGACAACTCCACCGAGACCCACACCAATGTGCACCACTGTCAGCATTGAAGTCAACCATGCCTTGTGGGTGGGTTGCATGCACTCGCACACCATTGATGTTGTTGTGACGGTCAGTGCGGGGCAATGCTTAAAACAAGTCGTCGTTCTTCTGTGGGGCCCGCCCGTCGACACTTGTTTGACTTGAAAATGATGTTTTGTAGGAATGTAGTCTACCACGATGCAAGCGCTATTC